GTTCCGCAAGTTTTTGACAGTTTGTGAGCGGCGCAGGGCGAAGTTGGGTCGGTTGCGGCGGTGCGGGTTTGCGGCCGAAGCGCTCCGCGGAGAACGAGGCTGTCCCCGCCGGCACCATGTCGCGGGACCCCGAGGAGGTGAACAAGCTGACGGAGAGCACGTACAAAGTGAGTGCGGCTCGGGCGGGGAGCGCCGCTTCGCCGCGGGACGGGGCGGCTCGCGGGACCGCCGGGCGGCTGCGGGCGGGGGAGGGGGAGCCTCTCCGCAGAGCAGAGCCGGCGGGGACCGAAGGGCAGGCTGGGCCGGGAGCGCGGAAAGGGAGTGAGCCTCTCCTTATCCTCTTTTCATGAGTAATCTCGCCCATCCCAGTGTGCCAGAGCCTGCCCGGCGATCGCTTCCGCGCCGCGAGCTCGGGGCGGTGGCACGCGGGGCTGCGGCTGCGGGCTCAGGGCACGGCGGGCAGCGGGACCGCCTGCGTTCCGTGCCGCCCCGAGACCTCCAGAAAGCCGAGGCGCCGCAGAGCGGCTTCCTCGGAGGCGGCTGGGGGCTGGAGGTCGCGGTCCTTCGCCTGAGCCGCGCCCCGGGACGGGACGGCGCCCGGCAGGGCCTGAAGGCTGAGCGAAGGTGCCGGCCTGAGCCCCGGGCTGATCCCCGGCTCCGTGCGGACAAACCAGCGCCTGCTGGAGCGGGCAGCCCGCCTCGCGTCGGCAGGATTCTAAACTTTCTACGAATGTCGAGTTAATAGCAGAATGAGAAGTATTCTGTATGCTGGCAGCAGACACTTGGACTTTTCCTCCCCACGAACAGCCCGAGGCACGCGGATTTTAATCGGGCAAAATGCCCTTAGAAACCTGCCCCTCAAAATCCTACTTTTGGTTGCGTGGCAATTGCAGTCCAGGATCCAAAGTCTTTGTTCTGTGCGGTGCGTTGTGCCATGGAAAGCACTTAATTTTGCAAATATATTTAATCATGCAAATGAACTTAGAGCTGCATTTGCAGCTTCGAGCCCAGAAGAAAGCTTTGTGGGGATTCATCTATTTTCCTGTTTACCAGACCTTAGTGGCTTACTATCAAATGTTTTCATATTTCTGAGGGTGTCGTTACGGTTTAAAGGTCTCCAAAAGCACTGACCAGAGTACTTTGCTGTTTTGTTGTCCTCCAACACACTAAAGTCAACTTTACTCTTTTGGGAAGTCCGGTTATACTGGGGCCGTGGTGTATTTTCTATTTCATTTCTCTGGACTCAGGGATCCAATTACTGCAAAATTACTTGAAGGAAAAAAAAAAAAAGAAAAAAAAAAAGAAAAAAAAGGATTCCTTGGCTATTAATGTTGTCCTCTAAAATGAGTGAAGGTCTTCTTAAACAATCTGCTGCTTTGTGATATCGGTTACATTCACGGCAAGGCCATAAGCAAACACACATTATATTTTTCTCAGGAAAGCAGGCTGTAAATACAGCTCACAGAAGAGAAGCTGACTCCTCGGGGCTGTGCTGAAGGAGTGCCCTGCTCTGCCTGTTGGCTTCTAGAATGTAGCTAAAATAGTTTTACAGAGGAAAGAAAAATCTCCTGTGTGAGTGCTATAGAACAGCTTTTAAAGGAACGAAGAACTCTAAACGAACATCACCGTTTCCTAATACTCAGTACTTGCTTCCTCACAAGTATTCCCCTTCTTTCTTTGTTTATTTTTATTATTATTATTTTTTAAACTAATTCAAAGGGATACTTAAGCAACCATCAAGAACACAGTAATGTAAAGTTCATATTGAAGTGTGATGGAGTGTCCCCTGTGTGGGTATTTCGAGAGGTCTGGTATGTTGCATCACATAGCCACTGCTCACAGGCCTGGAAACCCTTCTGCCCTGCCCTCATTACAACATGAAACTTTATCCAGGTAAGGTATGAAGGCTGTTTCAGGCAGAGAATATACCTGGGTCTATTTTAAAATAGTTACTTCTGTACAAAAATTAAAATCTGTAAAATAATTCACGAAGGCAGACAGAACTACCCTGTGTACTCATTGTCTGCTGTGACTACAATTACAGCTCCTTCACTCAGAGCAAACGAACGCCTCTGTGCTTCCTGCCCGCTGAGCATGCTCCGTGTTGTCCCATGCAGGTGTCACTGCTGCTGCACGCTGTCCCAGCAGCACAGCACCAACAGCACCAGGCTCGTACCCGTAAAACCAGCGGCGGTATTTGTTTCTCCTACCAGTAAGAGGCCTTGGTCTGACAAAACCGGTTCAGTGTAGCGCATCCGTGTGCCGCAGGACCAAACGTGGGCTTTCAGCTTCTCAAAAAGATCAACCTGAAAAATAGCAGAAAATGAAATTGAGTGCCTGGCTTGGCGCGTTTGCCATTTCTTTTTTCTTACAATGATAATCCACCGGCTTTATTACCTGCACAGTAACCCGTGTTATACGTAGCTCCAAAATACACCCACAGAAGGCATTGAGTGGCTAAAAGTAACGCCTTTGTATGTTTATCTTAGTCATCCTTTTTGTTGGCAACAACATGGGAAAGTGAATACCTCCACATTTTTTAGCTAACCTGACTGAATAAACAGCATAACCCACAAATATGTGCGCACACCAAAACGAAGGCTGACATTTACTCTTTATGTAATACCCAAAGAATCACTTTAGCGCACAATAGGAATGGCACGTGCCGAATGAAGCCCGAGGGCGCGGGGCAGTGAGTCAGGAGGAGCTGGGCGGGTTGCTGGGCACTGCCCTGCCCCTGGAGCCCCGGCACCGCCGTGCTGCTGGGGCATCGCGGCCTCCGCAGACGCGTCGCTCTGTGACCCGCGGTAGCGGCGCTGCTCGCTGTGTCACCGCACTGCATTTTCCCTGCTGCGTGGCGAGGAAGGCTGGCAGTGGATGGTGACAGGGGAAAGGGGGCAGAGGATGGAAGTGCTGAGCTATGGGCCCGTTGTTCTGCCCGTGTGCTCCGAGGGCTGTGCCCAAAGCTGGCGTGTCAGCCCTCTGTGGTGAGCCTTCTGGAATTCTTGGTAATTCACAGGTGTTGATAATCTTGCATTTTAAAGACTTATTTCTCTACACGAATGTAAATTTTACCCAGAAGTTTTCATTTCCACCCCATGTGTGACTTGCTTGTTCCGTGGGGCACAGTGCTGTTCTGACTGAGCGGAGCTGTGTAGAGCCGACTCGGTAAGCTTGCTTCACCGGGATGTTTCTGATCCACTCAGTTTAAAACCTTGACTTCCCCATTTCTGCGTTTAAAAAAGCCTTCCATTCGACTGCCTTAGGAGAATTGCAGTTCACCCATGGCACACTGCAGGGAAGGAGCTGCTTTGAATCACTGCAATATAAATCCAAATTTGGGGGCAGAGGGGCCCCAGGAGGTCGTGTGTTTGTAAAGCCCAACTCCAGCTTAGCACAAATTATCTATCTTGACCTTACTTGTATTCTCTCCCGGGCAACATATTCATAAACTGGAAATATTTGTATTCAAAGCATACTGATGGGAGAGACATAAAGCTGACTAATAACTAGTCATAAGAATTGGCCTTTTTGAATGAACAGTCATCCTGATTTTCTCTCATTCTGCTAGACCTGTTTTAAAACAATGTGAAGCTAATGTACAACTGAGGTGGCTTTACATGAGATGTGTTGAGTCCAGCCCTTTTGAAAGCTTTTTTTTGTGGATTTCAACACCAAAAGCAGGGAATGAGATGTAATAATGTACAAAAGAGAGCACGATATGATATGCTTTCTATAGGGCTTCCTGAATCTCCTCAAGAAGGTTTGCAGATTTAGTGCAGCAACACAAAATACTTTAAAAAAAAAAAGCTGTCTTTTCTAAGTGAGTGAACAATATGAGCAACACTGCTGGTCTATGCAGAGGCTAGCTATGAATAGCTATGTGCTAGTCATAGAATCAACATTAGACCGACTTTTCTGCGTTCATGCTGCGATTTTGGATTTCTAGCTGAATACATTGTTACCCACTCTTGCCAAAGTGGCTGCAGGATGCAAGCTTGAAACTCCAGCAGCCTGAGCATTGTTCAGCAGCGCCGTACCTGCTGAGCCATTGTGCTGCGAGGTGTGTCTTCATGTGAAAAGCAAAGCTGCACACTTACAGGAAGGCACTTTTACAATGGCTGTCATTTGTTTTGAAGATTAACGTTGTTTGTATGGCTATCAGAAACTGAGGAAGATACAATACTTATGCACAACTTGTGGAAATATAAAGCTTGCTCCTCTTCAGGCAGCTCCTTTCTTCCAGCTTGGTTAAAAAGCATTGGTTTCTTGTGGCAAAGAGCACACAGCAACTTTCATGTCAGATCATATGATGGCTGAGTGATGTCAGCGATCAGAATACATTCCTCTTCAGCTCTTTTTTCAGACGATTGTGCCAACTCTAATATTGGCTGCATAAGAAGATGTTTCCAGTTGCCCTGTTTAAAAGTGTTCCCCTTCATTTCCATTCATCCTAAATAATAGAAAGCTGTAGGATCTAATCACGTGCCTTCTGTTCTCTTCCAGTTAATTATTCTGTTCACGAGAGCTAGTGTGTCACTGGAATATAGGACACTACATCAACAGTGAGGAGGCCTGGGCTGTGTTGCTGCCCATGCAGCCAGATGATGCCACGTGAAAGACTTCCTCAGCTTTTTTTCTTATTTTGTCATGTCTAGTTGGGTTGAGACAGAGGTTTTGTTTCAGTGTCTCTGTGCACCTTGGCAGATAATAAGATTGTGAAGTTAGCTGACAATTAGGGCAATTTGAGGTTACTGGTTCTGTTGGGCAGAAATCCTTTGTTCCTCTGACTCTGCTTGTTTTCGGATCTGGCTGTGCTGTATGACCAGCAATACTGCCCTGGGGTTCAGCCCCCATCATTTTTGTGATGTTTTCCTTAGACTGTAAACAAGGGAGGCCGTAAAACAGTCAGACATCATTTGAAAATTAACATAAAAATTGATTTCTGAATAGCTTTTTTAACTGTGTAACTTCTGAAGTTCAACAAAATATTACAACCGTTTGAACTGATCATAGAATCATAGAATGGCCCGGGTTGAAAAGCTCTGATGTAAAATATCTTGGCATTACCAATCTGCTGAACAGGGAGTTCTGTTCTGAAAAAGTGCTCTGGACATTGCAGCCTGGAATGGCACTGCTTTGAAGACAGCAGCACTCAGCTGTGTAAAGAGTGAGCTCTGGAAGCAAGGTCAGGTTTTGTTTGCTCTCGGAATCCAGCCTCTAGTAAGGACAAAACAATTGTCCTTCCTGTATTCTTCTCTGTAATGCTGAGGAGAAGAAAAAAAATCAACTAAAAATTATTTCATTAGATTGTTTCCAGCGGGGAGAGGGGAGAAAAGGTTTATGTCTGTCAAACACAAACCCTTAGGAGGAAAGAGCTGAGCCCTGTGCAGTGCTGGGAGGGCCAGCTAAGCATGCCCCATGTTAAACCAAGCAATTACCAGAGAAATTTCCATTGCAAAACTTTTCACTGATTCTGAGGCATTCGTGTCTAGAAACTGGTCAGATACTTCTGCTAACAACAAGCCACTGTGGCAGCACAGGGACTGAAAAACTTCCAGAGACCGCCTGGTCTAGCAGAGAAAAGGTCCTTGAGCTGTGTGCTTCCAGCCACCGGAGGCACGGAGCCACACGGCGTTTCTTCATCGTTCCCAGCAGTTTCACACACAGAGCAGCTGCGACTGCGGAGCTGGGAGCTCTGCTGAGCCGTGCCGTGTTTCCGCAGTGCCGCCGATCTGCGCTATGACTGCCTGCCGTGCCTCAATGCAGCCACTGAAAATAGATCTGCGGGGCTGGGCTGCAGGGCGGGGAGCTGCTGAGGGCATTCTTGCTGGGTTTTTTTCCACTTCCTCCTAAATGAGAACTAATGAGGCATGTGCAGTCACTGCTTGAAGTCTGAATTAGAAGATTTCAAGCACACTTGAATCTTAACCCCAGAATTATTAGGAGACTAATTCAAAAAATCAGTATGTGAAGGCCAGTAATCAGGACATTGCTATTAAAATAATGGGGTTGGTGGCAGCAAGGCTTCTGACTTCTTGCTGTGGGGGTGGGGCAAGGAAGGGCGGATCTGTCTTGCAGGAATAGGATTTTCAATACCAGGTGGAGATTTGACGTGGCACTGGGATTCCTACCTGCCGTGTGTATGCACATTTTCCATGTACGCCCTTCTCCTCCCCCGGATCCTCGGAACACAGGGCTCTCTATCCTAAAACAGTTCCACGATTTGTCCATTCTATTCTCGTGATTCATCCGCTCCATATGCCAGCAGACATCTTCCTTAGCACGCTGCTGGGAAGGAAAAGCAGAAAGGTGGTAAGAGGAAGAAGCACCCCATAGATCAGAAGCACCCGGGGTTGGACCAGATGATCTCCAGAGGTCCATTCTGGCACAGCAGCACATTTCCAGTAGCCAGTTAAGCAGCTGGGATGGGAGAAGTGCTCCCAGATGCTGGAGCTTGAAAGTTGTCAGAATGGCCGTTGGCAGTGTTGGCCCAACCTGAAACACACATTCCCAAACCATTTGTGGATGTGGTTTGTGAGTTAACACAGACCGAGGGCCTGGGGACAACAGGGAAGTTCGCTTGCAGTGATTGTGTTTGGATAGGTAGGAATTCAGTGACAAGAAAGCAATTCCCGTTGCTTTAAATTTGTACAAACAAAGGCAACGGAGCTAATTACTGGCACTGCATGTCCACTGCTGATGTCATGTATATTATCAGCACCTAGAAGCTTTGTAACCATTCACAGAATGACAACATATGTTGACAGAACAGCTCTCTAGCTGGGGGAAGCAACACTGTGGGCATTAAATCAGTACTGAAGCCCTTCCTTAGGGGATGTTGTCCCTCAGTGCCATCAGCCTGAGGTGTGTCAGTCTGTAACGTCATCCAGACCCAGCAATATTACACATGCAGGTGCCAATGAAATACATAATGTGATTAGGAAGTAAATACCTGAAAGCATTATTTCACATAAAGCTCACACCCGGAAAAAGTCAGAGAAAACCTTTTTTCATTCTGAAAGCATTCAGTACACGTAATTTTCATTGTTTCTTTCGCATTTTCCCCTTTCTGTACATTTCTGATGTGTTTTACTCAACCTGTCAAAACATTACTGGTGGAATCTGAATCTCTTTGCTTTGCTTTGTAACACTGACAGGAGTTCATCACGTATGGCCCTACAATCAAAACAGTGAAGTTCAATCTGAATGACCTCTCCGAAAATAAAACACATGTGAAGGCATTCCTGTGCTTTCTGTGTCCATGCATGCAGCAAATAGAAATAATTACGTTCTGTTAGTTGAGGAACAGACAGCGGCTTGATACTATTTGACTGGTTGTGTGTCTTTTATTTCTTGTAAACAAAATGTTTGTTTTGAATTCCTCAAACTTGAAAGTCCTGCTGTGCGAATGGTGCCAGAGGGACAGGAGCTGTGCCATTACAAAGTGTCATAAGAGCAGCCAGAATGACAGGACGCCTTCTTGAAGGATCTCATGATCTTACAAAACCCCAGAGTGATTCCATGGCTGCAGTTCTGTTAGGAAAGGTCTGGGAAAAGAAGGTCTAGAATCTTCAGAGCCATTTTAAACAGGGCCACATTTTCACTGCACCTCTCCAAGAACTACGACTCTCCCAATAAAAAGCAGCAGTTCCAAACCGGAGCAGAGAGAACTGCTTCCTTTAAATGCTACCTGTAACTTGGAGGACTTTGCAGCTTGTTTTGATGTGTTAAAACAAAACAAAAGTCCTCTTAGCCTTCTCTAATCAGGTATCGGGTTATTTTTTTTCTCCCCCTTTTCCCCACATTTATTTATATGGGGGGAAGGGGCTGCAGCGCTCAAATCTTGCACCGTTATCAGAAAATTCTTGTTAACTTCTGACTTCAGAAAACACTTGGTGGAGAACCCTTTTCTTCCGTGGTTCTTTTTCCATCGCCTCTCATACAAGGAAGATCTATGCAAACTTTCCTTTCATACTCAGCATCCTTCTATGTTATAAACAACTGGATTCCTCTTGAGCCCCACTTAAGCCCAATTCTTCTAGAATTCGTTGACCATGAATGCTCCATTTCCATCCACCATGAACTCATTTCTCCCTCCAACTCTTCTACTTGTCACCCATCCACAGACTTTTCAGACACATGCTGTGCAAAACCAAGTGGCACTGAGACAAATGCATTTCTCCACTGCTGACTTCCTTGGCTGTAACATGAACTTTCTGTTTCCTAGAATGTAATGGAACAATTCAATCCAGGACTGCGGAATTTAATAAATCTCGGGAAGAATTACGAGAAAGCTGTTAATGGTAAGTCTTCAGAATGTTCATTTCAGTAACAGCCCTTAATTTTCATTTGATTAATTCTCATGTTGGTTATGAGGTCTGTGTATAAGCTTAAATTCCACACTGAACTTCATGCATTTATTTAAAAAAGGCACAAACATGTCTTTTTTTAATTGGGAGGGGAAGTTGGATTTTGGCTGAATTCAAGTGGTGTTCTGCAAAAGCTGCATCTCAAAGGCTTTCCACAAAAAAACAAAACAAAAACAACAAACACACCAATAACCCTGAACATAAAGTAACCAGAAAGTAACCTGTACTAAAATTGTAATAGATCTAAAGAAGAATTCACATCCTTACCTCTGTTCCTCCTCCACTGCACACATTGCACTGCCCAAGTAAATAAGCTCATGAACAGAGGAATTTGAGCAGGCACGAGTTCCAGGAACGGATTAATTTTTCCTTCTGACCCAGCTCCATCTGAAGCTATCTTCCTACTGGAGTCAAAAATCAGAATCCATCCATTTGGATCTAAGGGCATTCATTATACACTTTCATTATTGACTTCTGAGAAGCTGTTTAGATAAAAAAAAATGCTTTCCAAGCCTGGGCCCTAGATTCCCAAAGCTTGCACTGTAGGACCTGTTGGAGCTTGCTCTTCCTCACTTCCACAGACCTGTTGAGCTGCTTGATACCATATTAAAGCACTGTGAAATCTCCCCATTTTGCCTCCTTAAAGCCTGTGATGTGTCTTTCCCCTATGTGTAAGGTAGTACTCTGAGAAATGTGATACTACAGAAGTCATGCATAGCCAAACAGACATTGAAATTTCTCTTCATGCAAATTTTAGACCAGACTTGAGGAAAAGATAAAAACCAAAGCCTGCTGGAGATGAAAATAAGGGAATGTTGATTTGTTTGCAGTAAAACCTAAGCTCATTCATTAGCAAATAAGTTCACCCATTATAAGCAGTACCAGAAATAGCAAGTTTTCATGTTGGGCTGAAAGTTACACCTGTTCTCGAGAGCAGCTACTTTTCATTCTTTTCCATTGATAAGTTATATTGCCTTTTTTTCCTTCCCTTTTTTAATTGGAATCAATTTATCGTCAGTAATTCACGGTACAGCAGTGTACAGCAGTCCTGGAGAGAGGCTGATAGGTTTTATGGTCTACCTCTTTGAGCCTAGTTGAGAAACATATCTAGTATCAATGCTTCATTTTATGTAAGCGATTCCAACAACTGCTAGGAAGAGCTCTTGGGGCTCTCATACATGTTAGTATGAATCACATTTTCTTCCTTTCTTAGCACCGATGCTAGGAGATGAGATTGACTCGGGGCTATCTTGAGAAAACATTAGATAGGTGGAGTTGGAATGACATAAGCTCTTTGTGAATGCATGGCAGCCCTATCAGCAGCAGCGCAGCTCTGTTCAGAAAGTTTGGACGTGGCATCCCTGAGGGAAGTTGCTTTCATCCAATGTAACGGGGCTTCAGGAAGAACCATTTCATTTGGAAGAGTTGGTGGCTTCTCAGCAAACATGCTGTTGGGTAACCAAAAAGGCCACCTCTGCTAGTAAAAAGGTATCTAAAATACTTACGTTGGCAATGCCATCCCTCCCCAGAAAAGGCTATTCTAAAGTCAACAGCCAGCATCTGCTTAGCTTGCACTCTGGGTAAAAAATTAACTACTATCCCCCCAAAATTTAAAGATATACTGCAATCAGTATTCTTCACTGCTATTTCCAGTAAAGCCTTGGCAGTTTTTTCCTCATAACGTCTTACATTTGTAGAATGCAGATCATTTTTAGATACCATGGCCACACAAGGCAGGCACTGCATGGTGCAGGGGAACCTGTTTCTCACTGCTGTCCTCACTGGAGGTAGGGTCATGTTTTGTTCACTCTGGCAAAGCAAGCTTTGCTGTTTAAGTTGGCTGTAACTAAGAAATGATTAACTGCAAATAATTGAATCCTCAGCGATATGTAATAAACACCTATTTTTTTTTCCTGTAAAGATAGAATTGAATGATAAACAAAATTGTGGGATGGGGGAGAAATTGTCCTGGAGAGGGGAAAAAAAAGTGAGAGTCCGAGTGTGAATTCAGGCATGTGCACCTGAATGGGAAAGCTGGAACTAAGTAACAGGCTGCAGCTTCAGTGCTTTGGAGCCCTGTCTTGCTGACACCTGGCTTCACAACTTAGCAGATAGCACAGGGACTTGAGTAAGTTTTCCCAACAGTAGGATTTCCTTTTTGGCATACTATGTGTCCTGGATTCTAATATTTCATAGTGCCATAAATTAATGAAAGAAGAAAATATTTCAGCTTTTGTGTTTTGTTTTTTTCTCCCTTTAAGCTATGGTAGTGGCTGGAAGATCATACTACGACAGCCTTGCAAAGATTGGGGATATATCAGCAGATTCGCCTGTTTCCAAAGAGTTAGGTAAGTGGGCTTGTAATCATTTTTTTTTAAACTACATCAAAATATAAACTTTGTTTTGTTTTCCTGGTGACTTTTCATAAAAATGATCTAAAGTAGAGAGGTACTGGAAAAAGAGCATTGTACATAGCCAGGTGGGATTACACTGCTTTAAAACACGTTATTTCTCAGGCCACTCACACCAGATCAATCAAGAACATCAATAGAAGTTCTCAGATAGTAGATATTAATATTCTAGTTCAGTTTTTGAATGAGGAAATGGAGAGTCAAAGATGGATTAATTTTACATGAACACTGTAATGCTATAACACAATGGGAAGCACAGCAATGACAGCAGGGCAGCAAGGTCCTAGGCTGCAGCAAGTGAAGGTTTGCTTAAATACAACAGCTGTGGGCACAGGCATAAAGAAAGAAGCTGCTTACCTTCAGAAGGCCTCACGTATGCAGGGATTTCCAGTGAGACCCTCACCTCCACTGCCAGCCCTTAAATGAGGGTGGGGAAGGGGTGGATCCTGGTTCCACCCTTCCATCATTCAGTGCATTGCATTGCATGCACCTGAGCTCCCTGGGCTGCCCTGCCTTCCCACCAGGTGCTCCATCACTGCTTCAGGCCACGACTCAGCATTTCTGCTATAAACAAGAATGTACTAAAAGTTCCATACTTTCCTGAGAATATATTCTGAATTTCTGAAAAATTTAGCACTTTGTTTTGTACTCCTTTAGCTAGCATTGAAATGATATTGCTCAGTCTACAAAAGTAAAACTGTCACCAAAGTATGAGTAATACTTCTGACAAAAATATAAGTACAAACTGAACTATAAAGAGGAAACGTTGCTTAAAGGCTTCATTTGCTTTTTGACAAAAATAACTGGATAAATTGTCCTTCTATTATGAGCAGTCTGCACTTTCAGTTAAGGGTAATGTAGGACATTTTCAATGGTGTGACACTGGCCGCTTCCATTACTCTTAACTTTAAAGGATTGTTTTTAGCAATTTTCTTCTCGGTGTTTCTGCAGGTGATGTGAGGGATGGCCTCTCTTTGAGAGGTGACCGCAGCTCTCTGTGCCTGCGTACATTTTTACCATTTGTTCTGAAACCACTTCTGGGAGTCTGTTAACATTCTGTGTTCAGCGTTGTTTGCTGTTCTGCCGCTCCCAGTGCAAAAGCAAACAGCCTCATGTAGCTTTCTGTGTTTGCTTTGCAAGCTGTTTACAGGAAACAGAGTTGCTGATTTCAAGCGGTAGAACAAAATCAAGAGCAAGTTATAAGTATTAACCAGTCAACCTAATAAAAACATCAGGAAAAGCATAATTACAATTTCTGTAAGTTGGTAAAATCCATGCAGGTAATCTGTCTGTTGAGATCTGTCTGACTGTGAGATACTGTCTGCGTGTTTGAAAGCATCAGTGAGCAGAGATTAAATCTGTATCTTTCGTACTATGGGGCGACGCAAAATTGTGCTTGAAAATACATGTTGGGGGGTTTAATTATGTTCTCCATACAGCTATAATTCTTCCTAAGTATTTTGTGTTGAGAAAGTCATGCCTTCTCCAGGATCAGGCCTCTAAGACTGCATTTTCATCACCTATTTAAACCGTTACTGCGAGAAAAATCCAGACAGCAAGTCTAGATTTCTTCTTGCAGGCTCTCTGATAGAATACTTCATGTTGAGATAAAGGTGGGAGAATGTGGGAGGCATCAGTGAGAGATCATTTACATTTTCTTAAGTGGAATGCTTTCATAGTTGAGTACAAGCTGAGGTACCATTGTCTGGATTTCCAGTACCGAGGGCTTTGGACAGCCAGCAAATTTAAGTGTTTTAATTTGTGTAATAAAAATCGAAACATCCAAAGAACAGAAACTAACACCTGAAGCTAATCTGTGTGAAAGCAAACAAACAAAAAGCCCCACGACTTACCTGTTTTGACCACAATTGGGATGCCTGGCTTGGGGATGGGAAGGCAAGGCTTTACAGTCATCAGAAATCCACAGTGCTGTTTTCTTACCTGTCACCTACAGCAGAAATGTGTCACGAATAATTTGCTGATCTGCTTTTTCTTCGGTTTTTAATATGGATGCTTCTTCCATTGACCCTGTGTTCCACCCATTGGCCAGCAGCTACTCTTCAGCTGTAAAAGGAGCTATTAGAAGACTTGTCCCTTTTCCCCTTTCCCTGATAGCTAGCATAGCAACCTGTGTTTTTTGCAGATACACTTCTTATTAAAATCAGTCTTCAGAAGACTGAACAGGGCAATAAGGCAAGAATCAGTGTTTCAGCTCTTTCCTGTAGCAATGTCACCTTCAGTGGTGTCAGATGAAAAATAGTGTATTATTCTAAATTGAGTTGTGTTGCATTAAAGTTCTTACACTTACTTATGAAAGCCTATGTGCCTAAGATGGCTAAAATACAGTAATCTTTGTAATTTATGAATAGTGCTTACTGGAAGGTCATTTCCAGACATTCTAAAGTTCAAACCCAAACCTGCTGGGTGACCTACAGTAGGCTTACTGCCAGCGCTACGTAAAGATGCGTATCGAAACCACCACCAGTCCTTCCTTCTCATAAGGAAACACAGAACATGGTCTCCCTGTTACCAGCAGTAAGAACAAGTGCTTTCTTCCGTAGAGTGAGATTGGTGCAGAAGAAGGAGGCGAGAAGGAAATGGAAAGCTGGATATTCCAGATATTCAAAACTTCCGTGCCGTGTCTGTGTATTTCACACGCGGTGGAAAGCTCCCTGGAACACTGTAATACAGAATAACTTAATATGAGAAAGTAGAAGAATATATTGCATTCACAGCACAATTATTGTAAATAAAAGATAAGTTGCTCTAAATCCACTTTTTTTCCTAATTTTGAAATTCCCCAACTTTCTTGTAGCTCGTAGTCCTTCAGATTTGGCGACAAGAATTGAGGAACGTGACCTGAATGTACAGTTTGTCATTCTGCAGTGTGCAATTGCCGTGTCTTTCTTTCCTAGACACCTATTTTAAATTATACCAGGAAGAAAAGTTAGGAAAAACAAAGCTGTACACTCAAAAATGCAGTTTTATACACTCAAATTGCAGCACATCACAACAGCACAATGAAACTCCTTATTTCAGTAACGCATTGAAGGTAGATTCACATAAATACTTCAGTGCCAAAAGGACTAACTTCCCTCCTGCGTCCCTGACCTTCTTTGTCTCACCTAAAACACGGGTTTGTGAGGTTCTGTCTAACAGAACATCACTGCTATTAACTGTAACAATCTATCTTTACAGCCTTCACTAGCTGAAGGAATCAGGAAGTTTTCCTGCACATTCATTGAATTCTTCTCATGTTTTCCCAGCTGTCCCCTTGTAGCTACAACAACTGGCAGGTGCTAAGCTCCTTCATAATACTCGGAGTGTAAAGTCCCGATTTGTTTATTGTGTGGCAGCTGTACTGATAGCAATTACAATGTCACAGTTACACTGTGGGTCTGTGCATAGAGCTCATTGCACAAGAACTAAGTGTGACACTGCTTCTACAACAAAGCCAAATATGGAAGAAACAAATGTGTTGCACGGCATTGATCTGTGCAGCTGAATTGCAGACATCTGTGTTAAAAGGAACATCAGGGAGAGGAACGTCTTTTCTACTCCATCAAAACTGTTAGTTAAAAACTGCTCTGTGTCACAGGCTTATTATTTTCAGTCTCACTCACTTCAGACTTAACATAAAGATATGCAAAAGCTCATCTGCACTTTGAAACTGTAGAATAGGGATTTTTTTTTCTTTTTTTTTTTTTTTCTTTTTTTTTATTTTCAGGAGAAATTTTCTAGTTAAAAACCCCTGCAGGTGATTATTGAAACAAGTATTGGACAAAACGTTTCTCCTGCCTGGTGCTTGCCACGAGTCAGGGAGGGCTGAGGGCTGGGAGGGAACTTGTGATGGTGCTAGCAGTAAATGGAAGGCCTGCTTGGCAGGGGAAGAGCCCAGAACTCCATATCCTGCTGGTGAACAAAGGGTGTGACTGTCCTTCAGGTCCAAAAGAACACGTCCACGTAACGCGAGTTTGCTCATAGGAAAAGTGGTGTGACTTCAAAGGTCTCCAAAACCTCATCATGCTGTAAAATATCCACTGTGAAGAGAGGTAGGAATGCACCCAGCAATACAGTAATTACACATAATAACGCTACAGTGTGGAGAGGTGGGGAGGGGTTGTCTGTGTGCATTTCCTTCTCTTGAGGCTCCTTAGGCTTCTCTTAGAGATGACTGCAGTCACTGGGGGCACTGCACGCCTCCTAGTGTGAGCATCGCTGTCGATGGGGATTTGTTACTGAGTGGTGAATGTGCCCAGGGGTCACCCCACAGTCAGCACTTCCTGTCCAGCGGCATGGACTGAAATCTAACAATCCTTTGGTAACTGTTTTCTGGTTCTGCAAAGCAAAATAACAATAACTTGATAATGACAATCTATTATTAATGTAATTAAGTGAAATTAAATCTGTAGAGAGCACAGTTTGATTTCACTTATTTTTAAATGATAACCATTTTACATTTGAAGCTAAAATAAACCCAGTGGACTTTTCTTCTGTTTCTCCCTTCTAGCTGTAGAGATTTTCTATACAAGAAACAGTGAGCTTTAAGTGCCCATATAAAATTGTTTGGAATGCAATGAGAACATTTTTATTTTGTTAAAAGAAAATACATTCTTAGTGAAAAAAATGCTAAGCTGACCATAAGGTTATACCATCTTTCAAAAGCAGTGTCTTGCTAGTGTTTGGCACTCAGAACTTTTTCCTTCCTTATTAATAAGCAAAATGGACACCTGAGCCTGTACTTCTCTAAAGCTGGGAACAGCTATCCCTTCTACTTCTGTGACATGGCACTTAAGTGTTGCTCTCACTATTGACAAAGACAAGCAGGAGAACAGGAAATGTAATAGTTTAGGATAAATGAAGCTAGTTGTACTTAAAATAAAAATTAAAAAGTGAGTGAAAACTCATGGGCAGTGGAGAGAAAAGAGTTGTTGGCTTATTTAAGCAGATAAATTGACCCTTTCAGCTGGAATCCTGTTTCACTTGCCTTCGAAAGATGACACCTAGCACCCTGTCCTTCACTGGCTGCTTTAATCTAAAGAAAGATCTGTCATCTTGTCCCACCTTACTGCATCACTGCCATCTCCTGGATAGCATAAATGTTCTACTTTCAGAAGAGACTGTTGGACAGAAAGCAAGTGAAATGTGCCAGCAGCTACAGAACCTTTTTAGCACCTCATCTTGTGGAAACTTCTGGGAAACCAGCTTAGAGGTTGCAGCTGAAGCAGTTAGTAGGTCAGGCCAGCTTTTCCTATGGAGCATTAATGAAGTACAGTTATAATGTATTTATAACAAAATGGGATTGAAAAAAGGGAATGAATTCTTGTATAACAAAAAGTGATTGAAAATGAAATACAAGGTGCTTTTCACTTCTTCAGGAGTGAGGTTCTGTATTTCCTAATTTTGTGATAACTTTGTTTCGGTGCTACACAGACCTCCAATCTGCCATAAGTAAGGTAGGAGGAGAGCAGCCAGCCTTTCTACACTGCTAGAGATGGAAACAGTAGCTGAGTTAGTGGAAACTTCTGCTATTCATAGTTCTACTTTCCAAGGTCATTTATAAGGTTAAATCAAGCTCAATGTTCACATTGAGAATATTTTCCTCTAGAATTGGTACTGTGCCTTTTGATGTTCAGTATTCTGCATATAAACTTTTGATGAGTCTGCTGGAGGAAAGAAGGAAAATCAAACCTTCAGTCTTTCATTCTTAAGCATGAGCTTCTCTGCAGTTCGTACGTTGCCCCACCGTCTGTCGCAGAGCCATTGGAAGCTCCGTGTGTTCACTGATAGATCAGCTGCTCAGGTGCTGGCTGTGCCTCGTGCTGCATGGCCTTCTGCAGCCTGGGACGGGCGCACGTGTCTGCACTGCTGCCCTCAATCCCAGCTGTGTGCGATGGCGCTGGGTTTTCATACAGCACATCCAACAGTGCGTGTCATTGCAACCCCCTGAAAGACAAATCAGATATTCAGAATGAAGTGGGTGTGCACTTTCTTGATACCATCACGCTCTGCTTCAAGGGCCTAAGAAAATAGAGGGAAATATGACAAAGGGCGTGCTGGCTGTCCTGAAACAGTTACATGTCACGTGAGCTTCACGCACAGCAGACATCTTTCATGTTGTAACAGAAACCCTGGAAAAGATGCCCTGAGTTTCACCTGTGTGTGCATGCAACGTTCACTTGATTGTGACTAGTGTTTGTTCAGAAAATAGTCATTAATTCCACAGTGGGGGAACTTGCATTCTGTGCACAGTAGGTGTGTGTTCCCTGGCAGCTCTCCTAACTTACCCAAACACAATGCCATCACTGCTGGTGAGGCTGGGCAGGCATGCAGCCATTCAGCTGATGCTAAGCAATCAGTTTTTCTTCACCATCTCCTCCCCCAGGTACATCTGTTGGGAAAAAAAAAAAAAAGGAAGAAAAAAGACCTGCAAGCCTGTGTAGAGGGAAACCTAATCTTATTTGTCTTCTTCAGTAAGACAAACATATGGAAAATGGAAAACAAATGACAGTGTTGCAAAGAAAATCACATCGTGCATGTAACTAGCTTGTAAATCCCCTAACTGAAATTCTAGCTTTATTTTGTCTATACAGTAAGCTCTTACTAATTCATGATTTTTGAGAAAAGGATCAGTTGGAGATGTCATTTACATTCTAAGGAGGAAAAAAACAGTTTCTCTTGGAATTCCACAGAAAAGCCTTTAACCAAAAGGTTTCACTTTGGATACATGTTTGACACTGCTGATGGCAGCAGTTGCAGATGGCTGTGATTAACAAGGGCAGCGACTCCCTGCTGGAGTTGTATTCCATGGAGCACTCAGCACAGCGCCTCACCTCTTCACCCTTGTTTAGTACTGGCAACACAGCAGGAGCCTCATTTTGCAGCTGGATGAGCCGTGCTTGCTGCAGTCCTGCTCAGAGCAGGTGGCTCTGCTGCACCATGGCCCCGAACTGATCCGCCCAAGAGCAGCAGGGCCTCCAAAGTGCGAGTTCAGGCTTGTGCTTGTGTGCTCACTTATTTCCTTGCACCTGCCTGGAAAGGCCCACAAGCTGCCTGTTCAACACCACTGCAGCTTCAGTACCAGAAGCTGTTGTAATTAAGGCTTCCAGGGCCCCACGGAAGATCTGTCACCTTAATGCAGTCTGCTTCATACGTTTGGGTTAAGAAACAGCCTTACAGATATTACGAATGGAGTAACAGGTGGAAAAACAAGTTTGCCATTTTTCATGCATTATTTATGTGGCATACACTCTTCCTTTCCTTTTTTAATTAACATTAAAATTTAGTTACCATACTTACCAATCACCTGAAACTACATAAATATTTCATGCTAATTGTCATCTGTTCAGTGATACAGTAGGTTTAAAACAATTTAATCTCTGATTTTTTTTTCTTTGAGAGAATAAGATGATGAGAACAGGCTGGGAGAGAAAAGGGAAGGAGACCAGCAGGCTGGAAATTGCTAAAATGGAAAGTCACACCTCTCTTTAAAATAAGCTTTTCTTGTTCTGTTTAAATTGTAAAATAGGAGCATCACACCACAAACAAACTTAGAGGAACTGGAAATTCTCATAGTCTTGATAATTGCTCATGTATTCACTCGTGATGCTGTTTGCCTTTGGCACAGAGGGAATGGGCTGTCAGTGTTAATGCTCATATTTGTACGTATTTGTTTGTCTGTGCTATATATGGACATACAAAGATGGATGTACTGCAATATAGCAAACACTTCAGGAAGCACAGAACCTGGTGTACAGCACTATCCAAGTAAAATGGTAAAAGGTACCTCCAGCAGAAGAAAGTATAACACAGCTAGAACACAGCCTGAGCACAACAGCTCTGGTCTCTTGCTAAAGAACTTTGGCTGTGATGTAGCTGGAACGAAATTATTCAACTGAATAAACACAGAGGCTGTAGGTCCTTCTTTTTTTTTTTTTTTCCTGCTTGATTTTAACATTGAGCAATTGAAATTCTTACTTTGGTCAAACATACACAAAAAGCATGTGCATGGCTGGAACGTATTCCAGAGAGGAGCTGCACAGCAGCACAGGCAGTGGAGTCTAATGAGGAGGAGAAAGTAGAGCAGTATGAGCTCACTGCCACCTAGCACCATTGGAGCTCAACTCTTAAAATTAGCAGCAGTGCCTTGTATAATCCTGTTTACTGCTTATTGGTTCTGTCTGGTCATGAAACCATGATGCTTAGGCATCTTCCGGGCTCTGAGGAACGTTGGAAGGTTTCTTCTTTTCCCTGTACCAATCAGACTTTAACATATCTAAAAACATTTTAAGTAATTGGAAGTAGTGTAATGTCCAGGGGGGGAAAATCAGCGTATGAAACATAGCTATGGAGAAAGTGGGTCTTCTCAACAGTGAGCATTACCCTGGTTTGGGATTGTTCCCTAAGTGCTGTGGGTTGTGCAACCTTAGAAGAAAAACAGTGCTTTGAAAGCAACTTCATATCAAATGCTGGAATAGTTAAAGAGGTGCTAAAAGCGTGGCACTGTGTGTTCCAAGGGAAGAGGACTCAAAAGGGCTCTGATCCCATGAAAATTACACCATATCTTTAACTGCATAACAGTGTGAGGTGCACTGACTGACTTCATGGCAGCTCCTATATAAGGAAAGGAGGTAAATCTGCAAAGTGAGGCATGAGCTTTGAATTTTACATGTCTAAATAATAGCAGAATGTTCCATTCTATTCTTCCTGATTCATGAACAGTATTATTTGGATTTCACTGTGTGCTACATGAATGCACAATATTTGGATAAAGCAGGCTTTGTTCATGCTAATCTATGTCTAATTTGTTTCAAGTGAATTAGTTTACTTACAATGCAGAAATATCTACTGCTCACAATTTTAGTGAGAACTTGGTAGATTTTGAAGTGCAAATTGATCTGAGAGTCCCATTTAGAAATTGAAAATCTTCTTGCTTCTTTGTTTTATATATGGTAGCACAGAATTCTGCTCAGCAAAACATACCTATCCATTCAGAAGTGCTTCTTCTGGGTAGTGGGGGCCTATCATGTATAGCAGACTTCAAACACTCTATTATCCTCTGAACTCTCTTCCTTTTTGCTCTGCTGTAGGTTTGACTCCTCTTTTTCCTTTTTATGCTTCCTTCACCCTCTGCAGTCACCTTCATAACAAGCACTGACTGGTCATGTGTCAGTGCCACTTTATACAGCTCAGCACAGACAGATTTACTCCTTGCTGCTCGCTTCACGTTCGCTCATGCAGGAAAGGCAGGCTTGACCTAGGCCTGCTGATCTACGTGCACACGAGCATTAACTCCACAGGTTGTCTCCCCCCCCCAAGTATTCCAGGCAAACTGCATTAGAAGCAGAGCAGTCAGTGGTTTGGAAACAACACACTGTTTTGCCTTTTCTTCTTTTTTCATTTATATTAATTTCCATTAAGACTTTGTGCCTTCTTTCAAGTATCTGCTGCACAATTCAATCCTGCAATAAGTCTTTCCTATGAGGGAATGGTACATTGAATGTACTTGAAGCTTAACAGATGTTTAGGTCAGTTATACTTGTGTTGCACTGTATTCTTCTGAGACTTCCCATTTCACCTCCTTTCAGGGCTAATGGCTTCCAATGACTCTGCTTCCAGCTTTTCTTAATCATCGCTGCCTTTACTCTGGGCAAAGGGCAACTGGGAAGAAAGAGCATCCTGACAGAAGTGGGAGCTCGTGATATGCCTGACCTGTCCTGTCTCCATGCTTAGCTGTGACTCAGCCTCTTGCTCTTGTTTAATACAAATAATTACATGGCTTCATCTTGAAGACGTGAGGTTACTGGACCTGCCCTGAATGCAAAATAGGACAGGAGATAAAGGAGTGATTCTAATGGAGCGCTTTGTTCCCAGGCATCTAACAAAGTCTTTCTAGTGAGACTTGACGTTTTTCCAGCGGCCTCCTCTAAAGATAAACAAAATCCTAACTACATTTCAAGTAGGTGATGAAACCAGTAATTTTATCAATTAATATTTTAAAAGTTTAAGTGATTTTCTTGGTAACTGCTAATATTTGCTTCTCTGACAAAACTGGACCAAGTTCCATTTTTGTTTCTATTTTGAACTAACTCTTCCTATCTTCTGTTCTGAAAAACAGACAGCATTCAGCATAAGCTAGAAAGACAAACAACCACTAAAATTGCTCAGTGTGAGCAGTGAGATTGAACTGTAACTGCTGCAGAAGCTCTATATTCTGGCCTTATAATGAAGATGCTTACTATCTCTTCTATTTTCAAGCGAGGCTTTCTGTTAGAAATCACTTTCCTTGTTTTTCATCGACTGTGAAGACAATTTTTCAGAGATGCAATGCTGTGTGTGGAGGAGTGTTGTGTATTTTGGGTTAGAGGTTCCTATTTATTCTTTCTACAAACAAAACCAACAGACCATTAATGGAATTCTAGCCTGTCTTGCTTTCTTAACAGAAAACACAGGGACAACAAACGACCTTGGGTAAGCCTAAAAACCTCCCTCAAGTTTCTAAGGTTTCAGCTTAAGAGATTGTTCTACTGTGCACTGAACCCACCTGAAACTGAAATAAATCCACCGTGCAATTGGACATCACCATCCATGGCCATATTTCAGACTGCAGGCAAATTGCACAGCCCAGGTTCACCTGCTCTACATGAGAGATGTTTGGTATATTTTTAAGGTCACTTTTCTTTTAAGGTGAGACGTTTTCCCAAAGTGCCCATCTGTAAGAAGTTGTTTCCTCTCTTCCCTGCATTGCAATACTGAGCTGATATTAACAGAACAGAACGTGTGCCTATGCACATCTATGAATACATTTTTATTTTCTAAAATAAATGTGGAAATGTTTAATATATATTTCTACTGTTTCATCATACAAAGGTTTTGTATTTAGTGTGGGGGGAATGCAAAGCAAAAAAAAATGGTGTATTTGAAAGTGAAGTGCTGTAATAGTTGTGTTTATCATGAAGACTGGTGGCTTGGGTTTGTTAATGCACTGCATAACGTGATGCCTAAAGCTGGTTTGGTTTACAGTATGTCTGTCATAAGCTGGACTGAAGCAGTCTGTTATCATGCAGTCTAGTCATATTCTGTAGTGTATTTGCATGGTTGCTAGCTCTGGGGTTTGACAGTAAATGATGACAAGGTCGAGACTTGGTTACTGTGTATTAAGAGGTCTCATTAAACCTGATCATGAGCAGCCTTAATACATAGCAAAATATCTTTAATTGACGTGAGTAATGCACTTGTCCTCACTTCAGGTAGTTTTCTTGACCTTTTTACAAACTGAATAATTACTGAGCACCACAGCCTGGCCCTCGCTGATGTCATTATTAGTCTAGTGACCTACTGTGTTTATTAGAGCTATTTTATAATTCGCAGTTGTAATCAAAATCAACTTACTGTCCTGAAGTTGTTTGGTTTCCATCCCACTTGGATGCTGTGACGTGGAGGTCTGGGCTCATTTTACCTTTCCTGAGTTACACTTCTACAAAAACATTTCTCCTGCATAAACCTGAATCAGGAGGGCTGTCCAAACGTGGTAACTCATTATTGTAAGCTGGTGATAAAGGACCACGGCAGACGTCCACTTACAAAGCGTTCTCTATTTAAAGAGAAGCGTCTGACCTCTAATGTAAACTATAACTTAGATCTTAACAGGGCCACGCGCTCACTGTGAGCTCTTTTCAAAGCACAAAAGAGGAGGCGAGGCGGGTGAGCCGAGCGCCCAGTGCCTCTGCCTTACTGGGAGCAGTGAAGAGATCCCAGTACAGAATGGGTTTTGTCTGACGTGCAGTGCATGGGGAGCCTTCGGTGAGGGGAGAAAGAAGATACGATGAGAGAAACGGTCACTGACATTTAAAAACAAGATGTGTTCCAGGGTGTGCAAAGAAAAGAATCCCGGAAAAAGAAGGAAATGTCGATTTCAAAGTTCTCTTCATCTCGGGATACATTTGGGCAGTAGTCTTTGCAATGAAGGCTAAAAAAAAGGTGGCTAGTTTTCTACCCAAGTATTGAAAGCCGAACGCCTTGAAGGCTGCGGTCAGATGCAGCGCGAGACAGAAATAACAAGCCCTGAGCGCCAGGTTTTCCACCGCACGCTGCGGTGAATGGGCCGCTTCAGCGCCGCAGGGCAGGGCTGCGCTCAATGCCCGCCTTGTGGGCTGCCTGGGGCTGCCTGCCCGAGCGCCGTGCTTTGGCAGCAGCTCCTCCCAGCACATGGGCACAGAGTGCCTGTGCACCTCCTGAAAAAGCAGCAGTAACGCACAGGGCGATTTTCTGGTGGCCGTTCCAGCACTCACCACGAATGTTTATGAACTGCCAAATGCCTGTGTTCCGCGGATGTGAAGCCAAGCAAACTTCACAGTCTCACGTGGGTTTTTTTCCCCAATTTCTTTTCAGACTGTATCACTACTTGGTGGCTCTTTTCACAAAACTCCTCTGATTTTAAAATGCCACTACAGTGAAAAACGTAACTTCTCAGTTGATTTGGGTGAAATAAGAACTACAGCCTAAATTGCACTCACTTCTGCAGCCTTATAAACAACCAGGTCGCTTAATGATGGCCATTACTTGAAATGTTTGTGTAACTACACTGTATTTACTTTTCTACGGCGTAGGAAATAATTACTGTAGTGACTGTCACTTCTCACAGTATTTACTTCTATATTTTTAATCACCAGCACCCTATCACTGTAGGCTGTTTGCATGGAACTTCCTATCCTGGTTTTAGTGCCCACTGCCTCTTCTGGGCATCATGAAAAGAGCCTGTCCCCATCCACTTGACTCCCACCCACCAGATATTTGTAAGCATCAGTAACGTTACCCTTCAGTCCTCTCTTCTCCAGGCTGAACTGCCCCAAGTCTGCCATCCTTTCTTCATAATGGAGATGCCCCAGGCACAGGGTTACCAGAACCCAACGTACACCATGGAGGGATGGGTCTTGATGGCTGGGGAAATGTTGAGAAAGGAAGAGATAAGAAGTTCTGCCATTCATTTTGTTTAGCTGAATTTGCTAAGGAAAAGAAGCTGAGAAATCTGCCTTTCCTGTCTGTTAGTTAATGCCATACAGACAGGCTGTAATCCCTGATAAAACAGCATGAGAAATAAATCAGCATGCGTATCAGACCTGCTTTAGCAGGTGTGCTGTCAGTGAACTGCAGCGCTGACGCTGTGGTTAGTTAAACATTAAGGCCTGGTTTGCAGGCTGAGTGGACAGCAGTTGTTTGCACAGCAGCAGCTATCTCCAGCCTCCATGTCCTATGCCCCACATCGGCAAGAACAGTCTCTCACTGAATCAGTCACGTTACTTTGGGAGAAGGAAGGAGTTACTTTGCCTGTCACACCAAGTCTTGCTTGCACAATAACACAACTGATTATTTTCCTGTCATTTCTGAGCTTCTTGGTTTGTTTGTGGCCAGATACACTTAATTATTTAAACTGCTGTGCTAAGAAACAGCAGGAAGTTTCCTATCTCTCTTAATATAGCTAACAAATGTATTAGTTACATGTATTTTATTGCTGCTTGTTAACCAGCTTCAGAACTCTAGGAGAGAAAGAAATACGGTTGTGTGTTTCCCAACAGGCCAAGTTCTGGTAGAAATTTCAAGAACGCACAAGAAACTCAATGACAGTCTAGAGGAAAGTGTAAGTTCAACCACTTCTTAACCTGCCTCAGCTTTTGAAATTAAAAACCACTTTTGCCGATTTTTAATAACCCTTAATTTATTTGCTTTAAAGTTTAAGAAATTTCATAAGGAAATTATATCTGAACTGGAGAGGAAAACAGACCTGGATGTAAAATACATGACCGTAAGTACATTCAGTTCTAATACCAAAAAGGGCATCTTTTATTTATCGGTCGGTCCCCAGCAGTTTATTAATCACTGTTAGATCTGAGCTCTACTTAAACACGGCGCAAGCATTTGTGCTTATTTTCAGCTAAAATAGGGACCAGTGCATGACTTCATAGCATCCTTAACCCACAGCTGAGAAAAGCAGTTGGTTGCCTCATTTGACATGCATTAGCAATATCTATGGTAATGCTTTCTAGCTGCTTACACAAGCAGCACTGCGGAGCGCACTGAGATGTTTGTAAATGCTCTGATTGCAGGCAACTTTAAAGAGGTACCAAACCGAACACAGAAGTAAATTGGATTCCCTAGAGAAGTCTCAGGCTGAGCTGAAAAAAATCCGAAGGAAAAGCCAAGGAGCACGAAACGTGATGAAATATGAGCATAAGGAAATGGAGGTCAGTGTATGGGCTCTTGGTTTGCTTTTTTCTTTTTGTAATTTTATTTTGCATGAGAACTGGTCAGCAGAAAACACGAAGCTGTTGCAGGTCCTATCTGGGTCTTTCAAAGCTTGACTTCTGAAGCCTACAACAATTCTTGTGCACGCAGTGTAATTAGTTAATTCACAGCTGCCCAGCACGTTGTTTGGCAAGTTAAACTAACTTCAAAGAATGCGTATTTTTGATTTCTCAGAGCTGCTGTACGTTACAGGCACTCCTACAATAATTACTGCAGCTCAAATTAAATGCTGCCTGCGCTGCTGTACGCCTTCAGAGGCGTTACTTCAGCTTCAGGGTTTCTTAGATGGCCACTGCTTGGAGAGCGGCCTTAAAGCACCTCAGGAGCCGCACCTTTGTGCAGCAGTTTACTCAGCCACGTTGTGTAAACGCAGCAGTAATTTGCTACTAACGCGTTTCCCGACGAAGCCCTACGACTGATTCATTGCCTTCGCTGCTGTTCTTACACAGCATTGCCATCTTGAGGCCAAATAAGAAAAGGCAAGGCGGTGCAGACAGAGGACTTGTTATTTTAAATAAAACAGAAACTATTTTCTGACACACGATGTTAGGTTTGCTGTTATATTTCTTCCTCTCTATTTTTCTATTTTTTTTCTTTAAATAAAGCTTTGTTTATAACAAGGCACGTAAACATAAATCACACCAGCTCTCACTTCTTAAAGTGTGTTTTAACCCACATTCAGAACAGTTCATTTTTAATGTACAGGACTGAGAATTTAAGAATTAGCCTTTAAGCACATTTTAGCCACAAACTCTCATAAGCTCAGATAAATACATTTCAGTCTCTTTAGTAACTCATTTTTTCCTCTCTAAGATGAAGTATAGATTCATTACAGCTTTGTGAGAGTAAATATAACTGCTATAGAGCAGATGAAGGTAATCAGTCCAATTAGAGAACACCTGTGGCCTTAAAGTTGCTGCTTTGAAGTCACATTCTTCTTTGTTACAGCATTTAATTTAATTTGTTTGTTACAGCATTTAATTTAGAAGACAGAATTATTTTTCTTGTTTTGCTTCATTGTCTACACACACACACAGAGTAGAATCATAAAATCATCTAGGTTGAAAAATACTCTTAAGACCATCAGGTGCAACCATCAGTGACCTACCAAATCCAACCCTACACCATGTGCCACGTCCACACATCTCTTCAGCTCCAGAAACAGCAGCTCCACCAGTACCTGTGCAGATGGTCCAGGGAGGCCCAGCCACCATGAAAAAATTCCTCCTGACTTCTGAATCTCCTCTGGTGCTTCACACCCTGATACTGATGGCCTGTAATAGAATACATGTGTGTCTGATGAGACTGGAGAAGTCAGATGTGTGCATAAAAAGAGAATGAGTTGGAAGCAGAGCCACTCCACCCCACCTTTCTGATAACTTTTTCTTTTTTTCTTTTTCTTGTCTTTTTGGAACACACTTCAGTAACTGGATAGAGTATCAAATAAAACTCACAGACTGTATGTGAATTATTTACCTTTTTCCCTTAGTATTTGGAAACCGTGAGCTCTCGACAGACTGACATTCAGAGATTCATTGCAGAAGGCTGTAGAGAAGCTCTACTTGAAGAAAAAAGAAGATTCTGCTTTCTAGTTGACAAGCACTGCAGTTTTACCCAGCACATGCACTTCTATCACGCTCAGGTCGGTGGCATGCATGTAAATAAAAATGAAGCTCCTGAAATCTAATCATATCAGAGATCTTAAAATCTCTCCTAGCATCTAGATCAGAGTGCCACAAATAGTTCAGATAGCACTGGGAACACTGCAGTGCCAGATGAGTGCTGTGATCTGCTTGTAGAGAATGTCTGCAATGTGATATTCTCGTAAAGGTGCTGTTGCAAACGGTGAAAAGTTGCTATGACTTCTTAAAAAATCACACATTAAGAAGTTTGGTATTTCTAACATCTGACCCTGAAAAAGGACTGTCTCTTTCTTCTATATACTTCAAAGAGGTATTACTTAGCCTTGAACATGTTTGAAAAGACTTCCATTTCACTTCATTTACCATGTTCTAACAACAAAAATTAGCAAGTAGTTCTGTGTAATTTTATGCCAAACGTATCTCTGATGAGTACCTCTTACATTTGGATGCAGTGTGCAGAATTCCTCAATGCCAAGCTGCCTGGGTGGCAGGAAATCTGTAGTGATGCCACCAAAGTTCCTGAAAAAGTCAAAATGATGATTGATGAAATAAGGACACCTGGTTCCACTCCAATATCAGGAACTCCGCAGCCTTCACCAATGATAGAGAGAAACACCGTGGTATGTCATTCCCTGATGGTTAAAGGCTCTCTTTCAAATGGGTCCAGATTGTCTTCACTGGTTTCTATTGTACTTAAGCATTTGGATTCAAGGCTGTAACATGCATCAGCTGAAATACGCTGGGGTTGGGTGGGAAAGCAAAACCATGAAGCTGAATGGTTTGCTGCTGGAGAAATGCAGAGTAAAGCAGGCAGAAGCTCACAGGCAGAGAAGGCTGTTTCCAGTTGGGTGTCCAGGGCTTTCCTGCAGACACAGCCTTAGGACCACCCTAGTTTTTGCCACTCTATTTCCAACACTTCTGCCTGTAAGTGCTAGGAATACTTGAGGTTCAAGATAAACAAAATTTTACCCTTTCCTTCTTCCCTCTGATTCTTATTACAGAATATTGAAATATAGACATTAGATTCTCAAATAGACATTAAATTCTCAATTCCCCTATTTGCACGTTGTGTTACCATTGGTTATTGAATTTCTAAATTCAATACCTCCAAAAGTTAAGAAGTGCACTGATCTGTGCATGAGTGGGCTGTTTGTGAAAACTGGGCTTCCATAGCATTTCCACTAGTTGCTGTGCACCAGGGAACAGGATCCTTGCAAACTATTCTATCAGAAGTTTCATAGCAAGGTGGGCCCAGCAGAAAGGCCTTACGTAGGTGTGATCTGGGAAAACCTGAGCGTTGCTTTCTAGAGGTTATGTTGCAAACACAGGAAGTCATGTCACCTCTCTATTAGGACAACGTTTTTCTGATTCTAGATTGGAAACAACTTTTATGCTCACAATGAAAATGCATCAAAGGTGCCCCCTGCTCCTGTTGGCAGGGCGTACACCAGCCCACTTGTGGACATGTTTAACAATCCTGCCACGGGCCCAAAGGTGTCTCCTGAAAGAGCAACCAATGCAGCAGGTGAGTGGCATTTCACTGCAAGCCACGTGTGTGCATGGGTGTGTTAACAACTCGGAATTCTCTTTGGGATTTTGTGACTACTACCAGGATTTGAATTCCAGGATGTGTGGGGGAGTATAAAATGGTCTCTGCAGAGTGTTCATGTATCAGTCACCTAACAGGTGAAGTGCATGTCACAAGGAGGAAATAACTGTTCACAATAAAATGAAGCTACCTATCGTAAACTTTCACTTCCATCATTTGCCATGCATCCCTGGTGAGCACAGCTCAACTGTCTCTGTGCCCTCAGTCCTACCAGAAGAATACACTCTATGATTTTGGACCAGATGCACACCATTATTTCTGTGCACACTAACAGACAAGAACATTGCAGTCTTGGTATGGTTTCCTTTAAGAGTGTACAGCAGCCAGGAAAAAATGCACGTGGGACAAAACAAGCTGTTCTGTACTTCTGAAATGTAAAATGCTGTTATTTTATTAGTATTTTATTAGTTTGTAAAATATGAGTCTTTGACTTACTCTGCTGCAGGGAAAGAACTAAGCCTACATCACAACAAAACAAATGCAGTGCTAGAACAGCAATTCCAGCATTCCCTCCTTAAAACTGCCTTTAATGTGCTTTAATTTGACCATTATAATGGTCAAATAACACACATTTTTGAGACATCCTTTAAATCATCTTCTGGAAAACATCCCATACCCGCAGAGTGCCAAGTGTCTGCAGTTCTCATTGATCCAGGTGAAGCTGGACATGAGAATGAAATCAAATCTTGGGCTTGTTTTAAGAACGGAAAATTTTCAGTCTTTTGCAGCTGCTTCTGGTTAGCATTTCTTATGCCAAGCAGAAGAAAGCAAATTAACACTTACATAACTTTCTATGTCTGTTGGTTCAACGTTGCTGTGGTAGCATGTGTGCATGTATACAAATACCAATGTTATGAAGAACTCTGGTGATAAGAAACATTGGTAGATAACTGAGAGTCTACAACAGAACAAAGTCCCACAACTACACTTGAATACTGCTTCACCAAACCTGCTTCTCCTGACAGCTAATTGTATTTTGTTAATATGGTTAATTTTGCTTTTAATTTTGCAGAGAATTCAGATGATGCCAGTTTATCGCGCTCAACTTCAGTTGCCACAGGGCTGAATATAATGAAAAGGCAGAAAGTAAAGACGATCTTTCCGCACACAGCTGGAAATAACAAGACTTTACTTAGCTTTGCACAGGGAGACACCATCATACTTCTTGTATCTGAAGAAAAGGATGGCTGGCTGTATGGGGAACATGAGTCAACCAAAGTGTAAGACAATCGGTTTATTACCCAATTTGAACACGAAGGAAAAGTGTCTCTAGCAGGAATTAGTACATGGTTTCCACTTTTTCTGCTGTCACTGACTGGGAACTTCTATCAGGTGAATCTCACTGCACGTATTTCAGGGAGATCTTGTATACTAGAACCCAGGCCTTTAAATATTACATCTTCTAGAGTCTGTTTTGTCCAGTGTTGACTTCTGAAAAATCTTTCCAATTTTATAACGTATGAAATTGAAATCCTTTTCCATTACAGAAAAGGATGGTTTCCATCATCGTATACTAGACCACTAGAAGAAACAGAAGAAAAAGCCTTTGTTCCAGCGCCAAGGTAATATTTAGAATGGAATGTGCAAAAAATACCCAAATCTTCTTTCTTACATTCTTTCAAACGTATTAGAAATATTAGTTTTCTGCTTACACCATCAGTCGTTCAGCAACACTTAGAGGAAGCACCTCCTAACTGTCTGTACTGCCACACCTAGATCACATTGCCATGTGGCTACACAGACCTAACAACGATCATCACTCCAACTTTACAGTCCCACGGACTTCAGAGAGATCATATGCCTTAACTACACATTTTTGTTCTTTCCTGGGACAAAAGACAAGGAGGAAAGGTGTATTATGGAACTGAACATGTTACCTGCTGGGTTCTGTCTTGCAGCACTGCGCCGGTTAGAAGTATCAGTTCAGTCAATCTTGCAGAAAAAGCTGGTGTTGTCCTCCCACCACCAGACTATCTGGGTTCAACTCCAGATAAGAGAATGGAGTCTTCCAAAGGTACTGCTGCTAAAACACCAGCTGAGAAACCAGAAAGTGCAGGTCCGGTAAGTAACCAGTGCCATTAATCTGAATGTTCTGCTTACTCCTCTTGACCTGCTTAACTGAGCTCTTCAATGAGGCCCTTGATACTGTTCTATACTCTTCAGTATGATTATGCTTTTCTGGTGTCTCAGTCCACCTAGAGGAGAATGGTGACAAATTGTTTGGGGATACAATGAAGAGCACTAGAAGCCCTGTTCTGCACAGCAGAGAAATGGAATCTGTGAATCTTGAGAACACATTCTTATGGAAAGCAGTACTTTCAAATTAAGTGTCTGGGAACTTCTAAAATAATAATGAAGAAAGAGTCTATATTTTGACACACACACGGTTTTCATTTTTGGATAAGAAAAGCAATAAGCCTTAACAATTACATAATGTCAGATTTCTACCCAGGTTCATTTATTCTGACTATCTGTTGAGAGCTCTGGGGATCAACATGTCCTTCAAGTGTAATTACGCTCACAATCGTTAAAAGGTGTATCAGCCTGTGAAAGCTGCCAGGCCAGCAGTACAGAGAGTTCTTTGCCCTGTCACAAGTAAAAGGTGATGACGTACTGTAGACCTCTGATGCCCCACACTGCCTTGGTGTCACCATGCTGTGCTGCAGCCTGGCCTCAGGTGGCTCTCAAGAGCGGCCAGCCATGAGGACTTTCTTTCTGTAGTGTTGATTCAGGGGGGGTTATGAATAAACTTAAGGCTTGTGGACTAACATTCCTGTTGCACTGAAAAACCAACAGAAAGGTGAGTGATTTTGGCTGATAGGTGAGGATGGAATTAACTAGAACTGCTTGTTCATCCTGGAGGCTTACAGCCTTTCAGCCTTTTAGGAATGGAAGACAAATGCATTCAGGTCTCATAACTGTTGCTGAGGTTCCCCCTAACGTGTAGCAGATAGACGTTCACTGTGACCCCTGATTCTTACCTGGTATACAAAAGGAAGAGAATTGTACTCACACCACAGGATTTCACTCCAGAATTACTATTTACTTTCGTTCCCTTGGAAAGCCTCAGAATTTCCTTGTTCTCCCTGCTTCTGCGCAAGTCAACAGCCACCGCTCCGCTGCCAGGCCCGAGAATGCTTTGTATGCTGGAACATGTAGTCAAAAGTTCGTTTTTGCTTTGAACCTTATCTGACACCTCCTAGAAGCAATGCAATTAGTTTGCCATTTGAAATACTTAA